AATAGGAAAGATATTAAAAGATCCCATTTTTACTCTGCCGTGCTTGGAGGAGGCTGGTGGCAAGGACCCCCCGAGGTGACAGGCATTTCTGAAGGGCTTTGTTTGCCCCACATCTTCCTGCACCACTACTGCACCTCGCCAGAAACAGACTGGTTGTCTGAGCATGAAAACTTTGTAAGGACTAAATCATCTAAAAACAACAACAAACCCCACGTGTTAGCGAAGACAGCAGAGCAAGATGCAAGCAGGCAGAGAGGCAAGAATGGCAAAAGAGCAGAGCAAGATGCTTGGCTAGCGTACACATTTCCCCTTGCGGGATCTAGGAGGCAAACTTCTGAGAGGAACAAGCCAGGAAGCCTCTCAGAACCTTCTCCCCTTCTCCCATACACTGTCTGGCTTCATTTTGTCTCATTTTACGGGATGACAGAGAATAAGGCTGGGAAAAATCTCAAGATGTCGTCCAGGCCATCCTTCAGCTCTACGGCAATATCAGTTGCAAGACACTTTTTTGTAAACTGCTCCCTGACAAATGGGTGTCTAATCTGCTCTTAAAAAGCCTCTGAAGAAGAGACAGAGATTTTGGTCTCCCCACACTATCTACTCTAGGACCTGATTGTCCTTTCCTACCAATCTTCTTCCCTACTGGCTAAGCTAAATTTTCTTAGCTTCAGTTTAAATTCATAATTCCTCCAACATGTCCATGAACAAACTGCTCACATTTTTTTTTCCCAGTAGCCTTTAATGCATTTCAAGACTTACAACATGTCCTTCCTCTTTCTTTAACCTTTTCTGATTAGCTGCGTTCTCTAAATCACTTTTGCTCCTAATTTGGCCCAGATCTTCTTCAAAATCTGGTGCTCAAAGCTGGGACATAGTATCCAAGAGGAAATGCTGCCAGCATCAGGTGAAGTGGAAGGATCACCCCGGGTGCCTTGGAGGTGGTATCCTCTACACATCACTCAGCAGGATGACCTTTTCTTTTTTTCAGGACTATGTTTCTGTTGTTTCATATTTTTCATAAGTTTTCACTCTTGCTTTTTCCCCTCTCCTAGTCCCCATTTCTGTTTGTGAGCCTGATTCTTTTTTTCACATATACCGGTACTTGGTATTTGTCTGTAATGAAAATGTTATTTTTCAGACTACATTTCCAGTTTCTCCAGATAACTGATTTCTCATCTCATCCTCTAGTGTGCCCGCATACTTTCCATCTTGCTAACATTTGCAAGTGTAACAAGCACACGCTGTATTCACCCACAGCCTTATATAAAGTGCACAGTGCCAAACCTAAGACCGCCCTGTCAGTGCCCCTGTCAGGGCTTTCTCCTCACCCATCACCACATTTTGACCTTCCTTACTGCCTCTGCTACCTTTGTGCTCTCAAACCAGAGTCATTACCCTGTTCAATCCACCCAATAGCTTTTCCACACTATTGGGAACCTGCCTTCTGCCTTGACTCTGCTCCTGATGTTACTTTCTGGTCTTTGTGATTCAAAATCACCTCTTCTGTTTTCTCCCATTTTCCCTGTCACAACCTTGGGAGCTTTCCCCAAACGCCAGCTGAACCACACGTTCTTGCTCAGCTCCCACAAGGCAATCCCAACAAAGCGACTGCTACGCTCAGGCTTATTGCCAACCTGTGCTCTTATTTATCCGTTCTCCTCATGTATTCAGGATTCATGTTTCTGTTATTCTGATGTGTATTCCCTAGCACAACAGGGTTCCCAGTCTCACAGTGCCGTGACTGGAGGCCGCTTTACAGCAAGGCTTTTCATAAGGCAGATATTGTAAAGGAAGACATGAGGCAGCTTGGTTCTTCCCACAGTTCTCCCCAAGGAGAAACCAGATCTCCTAGCCATGCAGATTTAAAGGTAGCAATTTAGAGACATGTATCATGCCCTAAGAGATGGCTTCAGAATGTGCCTGTGACACACACAATGTGCCTTTATAATCACCTTTAAGGAGTTTATTTACATCCACATAGGCCTGACTCAGGCCAGCAGAGCGCTAATACCTACCGAGGAGCACGAGCTGCTCTGCTTACCTTATGGGAGAGGCTTCCTTGTTCCCCTAGGTTATCGTGTTTTACACCTGCTCTTGTGAAAGTCTTTCCTTGAGAAAGCAAGTCAGGCCAGCAAGAGAGAAGAATTGTGTTTTCTTCAGCACAAAGCAACCAATATCTGTGCAGGATGTACTGCCTCGGTGGTCAGTCAGGGGCAGCATAAGAGGAGGAGGTGTATCCCCAACTAGAGAAGGTAGCTTGGGAGCAGACATGAGTGATTGCTCCAGTACATGCGAAATATGAGAGGGTGAAGTAACGCAGGAGCTAGGAAGGTGAAACAGATCAGCAGTTGAAGGTTCTCCAAGACTCCTATGGAGTCCTGAAGAGCCCTAGGAGGCTGGGAACTTTCCCTAGGAGGTGACTGCTTGCACGTCTTGCTCAGTGAGCTGCCCACGGCGAAGGAGCCCTTCCCATGTCACCTCCACCGCTCACGAGGTGCTCGGTGCCGCTGGGAGCCAGTGCATGGCAAGGCCCGGCACTAAGGCAGGGCCCACGGGGGCGGCCCCAAAGCACTCGGGGCACAGGCCCATCCCTGCGCCTGTGCGTGAGGCACACGCGGAGCGGGGAGCTCAGCTGGGCTCGGGGCCAGAGCCACGGGACTGCCCGCCAGGGCAGGCCGCTCTGAGGTGGACACCACGGTGCCGATGGCAAGGCCCAGGCGAGCTCGGTCAGCGCCGTCCGAGCTGCACGTGCCCCTAACCCGGCTAATGCTCTGTGTTTCAGCTCCCTTTCTTGCTTGTTACAGTATTGAGATTTTTTCTGGTTAAAATTGAGCTCTCAGTCATGTACTTTAGCTCTTATTACAACATTTGAAACAGTACGTTATCCAACTTATTACTCTGTAACTACTTAAAATAACAAAGATTGTTGTTGGCAGTTTATTTCTCATTCACTCATGCTTTTAATCTAGTGATTGCATCCTTGAAACTTGGCCTGAGGTGTTTTGGGAGAAGATTCCCTTCTTCCCCTTGGAATGAAGCATGGTGATAAATCACCAAAAACCACGAAAACATCAGGTAAGAACTTGCCAAACTGCTCCACGCATCATGTCACCACTTATTAAAAATAGCATTTAAAGCCTATTTAAGGTCTTCTGCTGCCACTTGAAATCACCTCCAAAGGCTTCCAAAGCCCTTCCTTTAACTCTTCTCACCACTCAGTCCCCAAACACAGGACCAGCTGCACGGGTTGCCAGCACGAGAGCTTCCAAGCTCCCCTAGCTCTTTCAAGCCAGCTTCTCCCTCACTTCCTGCAGCCTCTGGGCCGGCCACCACAGACAGCCTCTCAAGCAGCATGAGCTGTATCCCACCTTCCTAATTCCCATGCTTGGATAAGAAGGATGAGACCCCTTCTCTGCTGCATCTGACACCAGCTGGGCTGACTGGCCACAAGCTTGTTGGTCTTTAAGGGGGAAAACATCTCACAGCAGTCCTATTAACTGCACATACCTATTTCCTTCAAAATCTTATTAAAGCCGAATTTGCTTTTTCTTAAAGAGTAGAGACCTGATTTTTCAGGTGGACTTTTTCCTGGCCATTGGCCACAGAAATGAGCATGTACAGATGCTATTGGGATATTATGTTTTAATGTGTTTCTGACTAGTTGCATGGACAATAAGATACAACATTCATTTTTATGTAAAAGAGGAGACATAAGGTTAACTTATTATTGTATATTGGTATATACACACATGTACAGAAAGAGGAATCCATATGTAACTGTCTACTGACAGACAGATACACCCAGTATATTCCAGTGTGTGTAGGAGGGTGAGTAGGGATATATATGTATGCCTGTATATATGTGTAGCACATATAGACAGCCATGGCCAAGGTATCTTAAACGTTACCCTGAGCTTTAGGGATGATTTTTCAGAGATGGTCTCAGATACCAGACCTGTTTCCTTTAAATCAGAGAGTCTTTATGTGCATGAAATACTGCAGAGACATTTTTCAACATTTAAATCTTCTGGTATCTGAAAATGAACATCTTAACACCTACAAGGGCTCCAAAGAGTGGGTACTCTTACTGTACATCTGTGCATGCAAAAGGTCAGAAGCAGAATATTAGAGCCTTTGGAAAGTCATGCCTCTAATAGCAAGCAAAGCTAATTTCTGTGTTCCCTGCATATTTTAAAAGCAAACATATTCAGAACTAATCCAAACAACTTTACACTAGGAGATAAAACTCCCTATATACAACAGTGTCATCATTTTTTAACACTAGTTTTTCATGCATATTTCACTCCACATTGTTGCATCCTTGCACACTAATAAAACATCAGTTATTTTAAGCAGGGCTTTGAAAATGCATATGGGCATTTAGGATACCCTAGCCTAAATATTTGCCTCTGTTTACTAAATCACTGTATTTGTCTTAGTATACACATCCAGAGCCTTAATTTCAAACAGAGCAATTCTAAAAACACGTGGCAAAACATCTCCGATGTTTATTTCTCCTCTAGGCTGACCTAGAAGGGATGTGACTTTCGGCTGGATGTACAACACTGATGTGCAGAGCCTTTTTAACACAAGAAATTGCTATGTTACTGCTAGAAAACAGCTGTGTTGCCAGACACAGCCTAAAAAAAAAACCAACTTCTGGAAAAGAGAGAGCCTTCTTTTGAGCCATACACAGGACAGCATTAAAGCAATGTCCTTTATGTGGAGAGAAATGTTTTTCTTGTCATTGTAAAGACTGGATTTGCTGGACAACATGCACTAACCTCTCTCACCATTAGCACTCACCATCCCTCTCCGAGCTCCTCCTCTCTTTAGAAGAGTGTCCCCCTGCTGCAGCTCCTCAGTCCTGAACGTTTTATGTCCTAACAGGCACGTTCACACAGGTACTGCTGATGGCTTTGCTCTTGTAACAACCCATTAGTTTGTGCTTTTCGCTCTGCTCCTTCAGAGATACACAGCCCCACAGAGCACCGCACACTCTTTTTAGCTGCTGGTTCTTGCAAAATAACGGGGCCCTGCTCTCCCCCACTCAGAGAAAGCGCCCAGGTGCCCACACAGCCCTGCCAGGGCCGCAGGAAGCACTGTGGACCAGGGCCGCTGCCCGCGCTCCTGCTGTCACGCCAGCAGCCCTTGCTGTTAGTTTTCCAGATGCGCCGCAAGCTCAAGATGGAAGTAGAGGAGCCCAATTGCTCCCATTCTCCTGTGAGCAGAGCGTTGACTGCTCCGAGGTGCCCGTGCATGGGAAGGGGGCGGCAGGGCCTTGCGTGGCCGTCGCCCAGCGTGTCCTCTCGCCCGGCATGGCGGGCAGAGACCCACGTGTGGCTCCCAGCTTGGAGGGGACGAGTGGGCCAGCTGCCAGCGTGAAGGGGGCGACAAAACAAAACACGGGGGTGGCTCAGAAGGCTCAGGAAACCCTGAGGCCAGAGGCTGTCCTTAAACCACGTGCCCCATAGAAGCCCTGTGCTGGCCATGCTTTTCTGATGGCCACTGTTTGTGGCTACAAAGACGTGCTCCAGAGCCACCGGGCTGAGGGAAATGCTTCATGGAGCTTAAAGTGCAGGGGTATAAATCGTTTCCCTCACTGTATCGTGTGGCACTCTCACGCCTCGTGGAAGTGCTCGTGCTGCTGCTGAGCTACCCCAGGGCAGTTCTCCTCAGGTGGAGCTGTATAAAAGCCCTGCCAAAGTTACTGCTGCACCAGGGCAACGAGAGACACGGCACCACTCACTCCCCTGCAACTGGAGGGCAGCCAGCTCAGGCTCATGCAATAACGTAGGACAATGAGGTATTTGATCACACGTCTGAGGAGAAGCCCTGGAGGGAGGTAAAGAGGAAGTTGCGTCAACCCGGAGCAGTCTGTTTCATGCTTCAAACCAAACCTTTTTAGCCCAGGCACTCCAGAATATTAGAATCCATTACAAAGATATTCCAGGCTGAAAACATGTGGAAAATTAGCAGCTCTGCTTCAGGTGTTACTCTTCAGGAGTAACAACAGTGGGGCAGCACATAAGGAAGAAGATGAACTACCATTGGAGATCAGCCTGAACTGCAATCATAGGCCTTACAAATACATATTCCTTTTAATTATGTCAGACAGAGAGAAGCACATTCAAAACAGGGCTCTCACCAAGCAGCCCCACATCAAGCTCCAGGACCGTGCACCCCTGCCAAGCTCTTGCTGTCAGGCACTACCTTGCACAGGACATCCCTGAACATGGAGACAGGACCCTCAGTTCCAGGGCTGCACAAGCACTGAAGAAGCCGCAAGAAAAATGAGCAATCCCTCCAGCCCCATTTCTTCACCTTCCCCATCCTCCAGTGCCTGCTGTCTCCTCTGCTCCTCCTGCACCAAGACTCACTCCAGGCACCTGGGACTCAGCAGGACAAATGGGACATCAGACTACACTGGAACGCTTGCAACTCCAGTGCCGTCTGTTCCCATCCCTCCATCTTCTAGCAGGCCCGACCCTACAGCGTTAGGTCTCTTCCTCCTTAGTTCTCAATGTGACACTCCTAAAAACAGCATGAAAGAACCCTGACCACAGCCTGTCTTCATTGATTGCACAAGATTTGAGGGTCGTTATAAATAACCAACTGTTCTTAAGGCAGTGCAGTGCGGAAAATGCGTTTAAGGCAGTGTAGCGATTACATGAAGGGAGACTTCCTCTCCTGTGGGGAGGCTGCCTGGGTGGCCATGGAGTCCCATCAGGCAGCTGAGGAATCTCCTCCTTCAACTGCCAGGAGAACAGGAATTTGTAAATGGGAGTCCTGCAAAGACATCTGCAAAGCTACAGCCAGCTTTCATGTGCGGCCTCAGGAAGTTGCCTGTGGGGCCAGGAAGAGGCTTCTGTCACCCTGCAGGACAAGTGCCCTGCTGCATCCCGAGGTCTTTCCAAGCTGCGCTCATCCCACCGTGCTCAGAGCCCGACTGCAGCCTGAGGGCAGGAACCGGGGCGCAACGGCGCCACGGCGCACACAGACCTCTCTGCTTGCTTGGCTGCCATCTCTGCCTCAGATGCTTGGCAGCCACCCCATGACCAGACGGACTCAGGGCAGAGCAGAAACTTCCCCCTCGTGTCAGAAGATCTGAAGAGTCGCTTTGCCTTTTGGCCTTTCTTTGAAGCAAAGAGCAGAGGTCTCCTGTTAGAACTGTTTGAGTGTATTCTACCTAACTCGGTTCTTGACATTGCAAATACCTCAGACACCGGTGTCATTTTGGTCTTTTCTATTCCCTGCCTGTGGCACACAAAATTAGTCTCCAGAGGACTGGATTTTTTACCCTAACCTAATTACATTTTGGCTTATAATGTGGACAGTGGAGTGAAATTTAACACTCCACAGTAAACATGAGCTTATGGTCTCTTTTGGCTTTAACCTCCAAGAAGCCACAGGGTAGCTAAATTCTGCTTTAAACAGGGAGTAAGTAATGGTAAAGACAGATAAACGAGTAAGCAAAGCAGACAGGAGTTGATAAACAGTGTGTTGAGCATGCTGGGCAACTAGTAGTACTTCTCTCTCACTATTACAGTGTGTGACGGATATGCTCCTTCCCCAGCTCATCCTGACTTCTCACACGTAGCCCTGTTCAGGTGTTAACTACCACATTATCTGATCCTGGTAGTTGCCTCCCTGATCTCTTTCCCCACCCAGACATTAACCATCAATAACAGTCCTGATGACCCTATCCTGATGGGGAGATAAGGCTAACTGTGAGTACACCAGCCAACAGTCATTTCTGAATTGAAAGAATGACTATCAATCAATCATCTTATCCCATAAATATGGGGACAGCCCAAGAGCCCATTGAGCTCTCCTTGCATGGCAGCAGGCTGCACGCCAGGATCTTCCCTTGAGCAGGGACGCCTCTCAAGGATACTCAAGGATCTCGAGGTTAAGAGATCCTTCTCACTACAGATTCGTGGTAAGTGACTATAGCGTGCCTTTCTCTTTTTGAATTTGTAAACTTTACTTTGTAACTTTGTCCCTTAGACATAAACCATTGACCGGGTCTGGGACTAGGACTGGATCCAGCTGCACCCAGACTCCTCTCAGAAGGAGTTTGGAAAGCAACGAGGTCCAATCCGAACCTTGTAACACAACGGGAGGGTGTCCTTGACAATTCTGTGTGTGTCTTGAACCTCCATGCAGTAACTAATAAGTGACCTTCCCATAGAATCTTGTGAAATCATTGTCATTACCAATAAAACCTATTCCTATCTCTTTCCGACGAGTGAAGTGCATTGTGTCACTCACCCCCACCACCACTCATTCCGTGACATGGTGTAGAAGGTCTAGAGGCCTGAGTCACCCACCCACACAGAGCACTATGCTTACTGAGTGCTGCTGGTTTTGATGGGAGCTTGGTGGTTTTGTTTTACAATATTGGCTAATGCACTCTTGATAATTTAAGTGTCACTTTGAATATCATTTGAACAATGCCCTGAAACATAAAAATCCTGATTAAAATATCTTATTCCATCTGCTGCTTCTTTCCTGCTGTTGTTTTGATACGTCTTTTCAGCAAGGGAGAGTCAGGCAGTAACATCACGGGAGGCAGGGCTGCCAACTCACACTCCTCACCTCTGTGTTGGACACCACAGGATGCCTCACACTCGCTCGCAAGCAGGGCCATTCCTCAAGAGTTAAGAGAGCTTTATAAAGCATCAGGAGTCTTACCAGGCACTTTACCAGGACTTGACTTTTTCTCCAAGTCTCTTTCTTCATTTCTGGGTTCGGCAGACTCAGTGACTTTGTCCTGTTTCTCCCTGCTTGCATTGGTATTTGGAACAGTTATGTTTTGTAAGACAGGCTTCTTCGGCAATGGAGGTTTGCCACTAATCTGATCAGAGGACTTGGCTTTGGATTTGATGTTATCATTTAAAGAACCACCAATATTTGTATCATTCGTCCTTCTGATCTGCGCCTTTTCACCTTTTGGAAATGAAGTCAATCCTTCATTTTCCAAATTAAACTCTTCACTGTACCTCTTAACCCCTTTTGATTCGTGTGAAGAGTTGTCTCCAAATTTCAAGGAGAGTGAGGTGGATCTAAGTTTTACTTGAAAAGGACTTTTATCTTCACAGTCAGGCTGACTCTGCGATACCACAGAAGAATCACTTGAGACTGGACCCGCATCAACAGCCTGAGAGACACAGCCAGCCAACGTCTCTGCAGATTGGCCTGTGTTCTCACTGCTGCCCTCTGGCAGCAAAGTCCGGTTTTTGTCGCTGTCTTTCCTCTCCCCCGGATCGGATGGCACCTGCAAATCTTTCCACATCTCATTTCTCAAGGATGTTTTTGCTTTGGACAGGAAGAATCTGGTATTCAATGGATTCTCACCTGTTGAGCTTTCTGGGAAGTGTAGGCTTCTGGTCCTTGGCCTTTCTCGTGCAGAGGACACAGAAAATTTTCTCAAGGCATCGAGTTCATTGACTGCTTTTTCCGCTTTCTTCCCCCAAATTTCCTCTTTGTGGGCCAGTAACTGACAGTTCTTATCAGAAGGAACTACCTCTTGTGTATTCTTTGTTTTCTCTAGATCCCAGGAAGCAGATGATCTCATCTCTGTTGAAGAAATAGGATGTGGAATATGGGAAGGGAAAGCAAATGAGTCCATATTCTGGGAAGAACCTATGGGAAACTGCTGGGTAGATTCTGATAACACAGCAACCTCTTTCTTTGCTTCATTACAGGGTGTTTCCACATTATTACAGCGCATTTCCACATGTGTCTGATCTTCCTGTTTGCCTTCTTCTGAACTGTCCAAACAGAGAAGACTATATTTATTAAGGGAAATATCTTCTTCGGATGCTGTTTTGCATACTGAAGATACAGTAGGAAGCTCCTTATGTTCTTGATCTAGAGTATCAACTGACTCATCACACTTATCTCCAGACAACAGAGACAGTGCTTCCGAGGAATCTTTTCGCTTCTGTATTTCTGTGTCTAGACTGGAGCAGGGAGAAGTTGTGTGGTCTTCACCTTCCAGCAGCAATGAGAAATCAGGCTTTGTGCACACAGTTTCCTGCATTGGTTGGCAGCGCTCTGGTTTATTCTCTGGTAGCAGGGCTTCCTGCACAGCAGCAGACTCAGGAGCAGGATGAGTCACTGCTGGTCTCAAACCAGGGAAAAGGTCCTCGGGTGCCCTGGGCTTCTGCCAGGAAGCCACATCCTGTGCTGCAGCTGCGCCGCACGGCAGCTCTTGCTCACTGGTTTTCAGCGGAGTATCTGGCAAGTCTATCTGCATCTCTTTGCCATCATCCTCCTCTTCCTCTGGTGTACAGCTTAAATCAGACAGAGATTCAGACTGGGTCCTCTGAAACAAAGAAATTCAGAAAACACCATTACCACGTGCAGATTCACTTTTTCTTTCCCATCTGTTGTTGTATTTACAGCTGATATCTTAGAAAGGCAGTACTTGCCTTCCATGATGAGCATGCTGTGTTCATAACCTACACACAGGATGCTTATTTGGCTAAGGAAATCATGGTATAATGCATTTAACGAATATAAAAGCAATCAACGACACTTCCTTCTGCACAACTGGTGCTTTCATGCCTCTATAGATAGGGAGTTCATCAAAACAATGGCCACTGGACTGTCCTTGGCACTTGATGCCCTAGAACATACTGGATATGTTGTGTTGCTCTTGGGCAAAAAGCAGCACTTGAAAGAGAAAAATCTGTCCCTTTGTATTTTGCCATTCCATTACAGGATTAAAAATAAAACTACCCATTCTTTCCCATATATGACCTTGAAGAGGCAAGTGTACACAGAAAAAAAGAGCAAAAAAAAAAAATCTACTGAATAAGTCCTTGAGGTTATGACACACTATGCCAGCTGAGTATCTATCCCCATACAGCAATTGTCTAGTCACTTTGACATAGCATTAAAGTAATGTCTCCTTTGTGTGAAGCCTTTTTTTTTTTTCTTTTTAAAAGTTAGGCTATCTGATCAAAGTTTAAAATACATGTACAGTCATCTGTGAAATCTTTGTGACTGAGCTTCAGGTAAGCTTCTATAAATATGTACTTAGGACTGCTAAATATACAGGATTATTCCAAGGCATGTTATGAAGCTGTTGAATATGCATTTTCATATGGTGCCTGTATTATTGGCTTACTGAATCACTGTAGTTTGTTGGGTAAATATGTGTTTTGGGTGCAGGCCCTAGTTCTAAGAACACAAGACCTGCAGTCTGAAAACACTTTTAGGACTCACATAATTTCCAGATTTGCAAATACAATTGCAAAGACAACCCTAGAATGTCACCTTTGTTCACAGTCCATATCCACTGAGGATCCGGGAATACAAAAGCAGATGATGTTAGTTAGCAAGCCAGGAGCAAAATGCACAGGTGAAAGTGGGCAGGGAAACATTTCAAAATTGTAATTTTTAGCAATAGGTATAAACATTCTCTATGGGAAACCAGGAGGGCTCAATCATCTGGCAGTTTAAAACAGACAAAGGAATGATGTTCTTAACAGTAAGCAAGCCAATTTAATGGCTTTAGTGCGTTTAAAACATTGAAGGAAATCCCAGATAATAAAGTGCAAATATTGTAGTAAGAATTGTAAACTTTAGGTGGAAAACGGGAGAAAAAGAAGAATTATTAAATAATCTTTGTCATAAGATGCAAAAAAAGAAGCAAATAAGAAGTGTTTTGAAGGACTGTTTAGAACCCAACAGTTTCAGCTATACTCATTTTTCCTCCATGAAGACATATTTTTAAGTGTCTGTAGAGAACGTAGAAGGACAAGCTTGGAAAGAAGGCTGAATGCAGAAGTCCTAAAGACCACTCTTTGGTCCCAAGTGCAGGTCATAACTTAGTTCTGCAATTTTTGAAACTATAATCCCAATGATGTTTGATAAGTTAAAAAAACAGGCAGACAAACAAAACCATAAAGAAATACAAAGTCTCTCAAAGTGTCAAGATTTTACAAGATCTTTCAGGACAGAAAAAGTCCACAAGTTGATCATTTTTGAGAAGGTAAAATTTAAAAAGAAAGAATAGAAGCAGTCAGCCTCAACTTCATTGCAGCCAAAATACTAAATTGTACTGCACAGTAATGTTATGAAGAACCATTCACGTAAACTGCTGTATCAAGAGAAGTAACAAGTAATCACATAATATTTATTCTGTGCTTACGGACTACTCCAGATACATATTAAATAAAGCTATTAAAACCCAACCAAATAACCATGCACCCATCTGACTTTTCTTAACCCGTCTGAATTTGCATATGAAATCCAGGAAGAAATTCCAGATTTTGTTTAAATAATGACACAGTTTTTGCTTTTTGTTGTTGTTGTTGTTTTTAATAATTACCTGAGAAAATCTTCTCATTTTACTGGATCTCTGATTCCGGGGTTTTATTAAAAGTTTATGTTTAGCAGCAGAATTATCCAAGCAAGAGGAGAGCTCAGGTGGAGCATCAAAATTGGCCGTGGGCGAGATGCTGCTGTCAGATATCCGGGGAGCTCCAGTTTTAGCACTTCCCTGCCTAGGGAACCGCTGGTCGGCTGTAGATTGAGGTCTAGATGGACTCAGCGTGACCTAAAACAAAAATAGAGATTCCCCAAATGGAGAATCAGACAAAAAAAAACACAAGCCATGAGAACAACAAACCGGGAAGGAGGTGTGTTTATTTTGTGGTTTTTAGTTCGGTTTATTTTGTGGCATTTTGTAATTGCCTTGGTTTCTTTCTGACTTCTTTTTAAAATACACTGCATTTCCTAGTGTTGCACATGGAATATTAGCAATGTGTTAGCAATTTTTGCATTTTTAGCAGCAAGAATGCCATGCTATGTATCCCAGTAGGAGAGAACAAGTCACATTTAACTAAAAGATCTAAAGCATAGAAATACACAATCAGCATGTTTTTAGCAAATGCATTTATGAAGAGTACCAGTCCTAATGGGTAAATTTCCTTTCTGGGTCTCTCCTACAGGATTTGTCCGGACTCCTACCCAGAGTTGCACTGGTTCAGAGCACCTCTAACTTTCTACATTTTATCAGTTTCCTTCCAACTCTACAATATCCTCTTAATGAGAAAAAGAATAAAACATCAATGGCATTAACAGTTCAGTTACCTTCCTCTTTTTCATAATTTATTTGTATTTGCAAAATTATTAGGGAGTTTACCCTGAAGCATATTTTATGTATAGACTATTTTAGGGAAGGAAATGGTGGGCAATTCCTACTAGTGGCCTGGAACTTCCAACCTGACCCGTAACCCATCCAGAAATAACTTCTGGATGCCCCCAAAGGAAGCTGTACTTTCGTGATGCTGAAATTCACCTTTCCTGAGTGCCTCAGCAAAACCACCCAAGCCTGGGGCCAATGCAAAAAGATTGAACCTTACGAAAATGACTCTTTAAAAATAAGTTTTCTTTTCTCTTTGATTCAGTTTTTGCAAGTAGGTAAAATGGTACTATTTTGAGACATCTGTCTCAATATTAAAACGACCTCTGCCAGCTCTTGATAACAATCCTCTGAAGGCTTGAAATTCCAGTGCCTTTCATTATGGAAGTTTTCCTTCTTTGTCATGCCCCATACAGCTGGACAGAAGACTTCTGGAAGTCATATTTTATTGAGGGGAATGGCTGGGGGAAAGCAAGAGCTGTACAGTGTTTATTTTATTTAGGCAGGAAAAAGCATCAGCGTTTTCTGCATGCAGAGTTCTGCACATGCACTGCAGACAGAAGATAATCTGGAATATAGTCAGGGCCTGCTACCGCTTCCTCTACATCCGGCGAAGAACTCCCACTGATTTTAATGGAGGCTGGATCCACAACTTCCAATAGCTTTCTATGAAGAAAAAGATACAACAGCACCAAAAAGCACCTTGCTCAGCCATGCTGAATAATGGATGCTCTGGCTAATTTGCGGTAGGGTTTCTCTGCACTATCTGCAATGTCGTACTCAAACATGACTAATGTACAACAACGATACATGGCTGCATTATACATTAGTGCCTAGCAATGAATACACTGACATTTCAGCTGCCTGATAAAGATACAGCCCATGTTCTCTTTCAAGGCCTATTATTATTTACTTGTCTTTTTTTTTTTTCTTTTTTTCTTTTTTTTCCCTTTCCTGGCTTCCGTTTTGCCTTAAGAATTTGCCCTTCTCATTATCAATGCTCAGTGTTGGTCATTACACTGGAAAAGCAGGAATCTGGTTGGCTACTCCAGTTAAATTTCAGCGGGCTGAGCAAATGCCAGGTCTGTGCTGGCTGCAGAGACAGCCTGGCTTATAAAATCTGTCTCTGGCTAAGGCTGGTGGGAGAGGGATGGCCAGCAGGGCCCCTACCCAAACCTCACGCTCACAGGGCTGCCCTCCGCTTCAGCTGCTTGCACTGGGTATCACCACGTGTGGGGCCAAGAGGAAGCCCAGTTCCCAGAGCGCGCATGTGGATGGGTCATGAACCCTCCCTTCTCCCTTCCAACTAAAAAAGCTTCCAAGGCACTGGAAGGTCTTGTTGCCACGAAAAACCTCAGAGCTGTGATGTGTGCAGCGCCCTTCAGGCACCTACCGGCTGGCCATCGTGTCTCCTCCTAACTCCGGAAGGAGGTCTGCTCCCTCCAAAATGCCACTGGGCTCCGCATTTGGGGAGGACTGTGCTCGTGTGGTGCTGCTGTCTGACTTACTCTCAGATGGGACTGGGCTGTCCAGAGCTCCGAACTAACTCGTGGGGGATGTGGAAAAGCTGCGCAACCAAAGTCGCCACCGCGGCTCCGCAGCCACAGGGAGATGCTAATGGAGCTACGGGGAGCCATTAATGCTCCTTTAGTGAATACACATCTGGACTGGAAAAATATTTTTACTGTAAGTCTACACTGATTTTCAAGAAATACTTTCTTCATATGTTCCATTTTTTCTTTAAGATATATAAAGACTTCACTGTATAAAGCAGCTTTTCAAATACCTTCAAATAAGTCTAACAAGTGGGGCCAGAAATCTTTGCTGAGCCCTGCTGCAGCTGGCATTAAAATGCATTTTACATAATTACCAAGAAATGGTCAACTTGGGACCAGCTTCTTTATTTCCCTTCTGCATTTTTCCTCTATTCCTTCTCCTATTTCTAGAAAATGTTTCTCATTATACCCTGTGTTGTTTCCACCATGACTCCAGCTGCAGACAACTGAAAGGGACTCTCCAGAGCCTTTCAAAACCACTCTTTAATCAGCCACCACGTGTAACTGCTGACTAAAGAAAAACATCTATTTGGTTGTTGTTTAGTCCTGAAAACATCACTGCAGCAGAATTCACAGCTCACACTGACCCATGTGGTCAAAATCTGACTAACGCCTGAATCCCAGTATCCTGAGCAGCAATATCAAATCTCTGTCATCAGGAAAAGTGTTTCCGTACCAGTGCAAGGCAATACTGTACTTAATTTAAGAGTCTGGGAGGATACCGAAAGATCTACATTTTGTTCATGTCTTCTTAGCAAACTTCCTCCCTCAACCCGTGTGCATAACTTAACTACCCTCTACTGCAGTTTCTCATTTTAAACAAGGGATACCACTTCTCTTTGCGTCTAAATCTGGTTGGTTTTGAGGATTAAATCACATTTGTCAAGTTTTCTGAAGGACATGAGATATGTTAGAAGTTTCAGTTACTATTAGCAGGAGATTATTTGGTGCTGGAGAACTATGTTGCTAAACAATCACACCTTTTTAATGTTAGAAAGATAGCCATTGAAACAGCAAAGCAGATAGGCATGCAATTACATACACAGAAGGTTATTTTTTTGCAGCTGACAGACAATGAAGTAATATTTATACCTTACATTCCTTTAAAAGATTAATATACATAATTGCTTGGCCCTTAATACATTTGGCAGAAGTTACCTGTTCTTCTTCTTCACTGCCTGTTCCAGCTAAACTCAAAGAGCTAAGGTGCTTGTGAGAGTCAGAGAACTGTGGGGTGGAATGAGGAAGAGATTCAGTAAAGATGACAAATGAGTCGGATGTACCAGCAGAAACCATCTACACAAAGTGCACACAATACCAACAAATGTAAGTTGCTTTTCTCTATAGTCTTAAGGACCAGCAAGGACATTGCAAATAAAGGATAAAGACATGCAGATAAAGTACAAAATAATCTGTAACAAAACTATAATTTAAAAGAAAAAAGTTCAGGTTCTTAAATATTTCTTTTTACCATAGCAGTAGAGAAAAATACTAAGGAAGAGACTCTAATCAGCATGCCTGAGGGAGACAACAGATTTTCTGGCCTTTTTTATGCTGAGCTGTGATCTGTAGTCCCCGAACACCCGCATCACCCCCAAACCTATGCACAAAAACAAACCCTCTCTTTCCTATTTCTGCATATTCTGGCATGGCATGATCTTCATATTTCAACAGGAAGAGAGATTTTTAGTAGCTGTTTGCACAGAGACCAGAGACACCACTTTCCCACTTTGAGTAAGATATATATGAATGGCTCAGAAATGAAGCAGTAATATGTCTAGCAAGCCAAATATCTTTTTCTGCCTTCCATCCATGGCTGAGATAAGCCATTAAACACTGACTTTTGTCAATACTTGAACTACTCACTCTCGTCGTGCCTGAATTTAGGATTTCATGGAGCAAAGACGTTTCTGGAGGACTCCTGGGCAATCCATCATCTTCAGAGCTGGCGCCAGCATCCTCCGAGCGCTTTGCATAAAGTCCAGATGGGGGTGGAGGCCCCAGTTTCATGTTGTGCTGTAGTTTCAGCTACCACATGGTAGAAAATACATTAGCATGTGAAAGTGATGGAGGTGTCCCCACTGCGTTTTTTTGGTTCATGACAATAAGTTACCTTTATTTTAACTTTACAATTGAATGATGCTAAGCACAGGTAATCTCTCTTTAGGGGTTTTCTTAGGTAGACAATCAACCCATCTATTAATGCTTATTGTTTAAGCAGAACCAAGATATAATATGGCTTTTTAGTTAAACTCAACATCGAATGTAGTCTGCAAATGATAATCACTTAGTAATCAAATGTTCAACTACAAAGGCTATGAGAAAAAAAAAAAAGCCTGGAAAGATATCCCATCTCTTGCATTGAAAAGATGTATGTGGTGTCCATTACCTGTAAAGCTCTAATTCGATCAGAAACGTTCTCCTGAGAAAACACTCTTACTGGCCTGGCAGGCTCTTGCCCAGTCTCTGGGATGAAAATGCTGTCATGGGACAAAGCTCTGCTCCCCATAATGCCTTTGTGGGTCCTAGAATAACACAACAAACAGTGAAAGTAAATAAGCACATTTAGTCAGTCCTCTTGCCATCTTAACTCGGATGGGCTTTTGAAAATGGAGCACAAGATGAATGTGCATCGCCCCACACATCACACCTGTGATTCTAAACCCCTCGCTGAACACAATACAGGCATGCTGACCAGGCTACATAGTGCCATGAAAACTAGGCCAACAGCTGCAACGTTGCACCTGTGGGGTGAGCAAACCAAGTCGCAGTTGGAGACGGTTTGGCGCCAGCAGCTGGGCTGTGCTCTACGGAAAGCTGCTGCCCCTGGGCTAGAAGGCAGCGCTGGCGCCGCGTGGCGCCGCCACGGGCGAGCACCGGCGCGGAGCGGAGCGAGTTCCCGTGAGCCGCCCTGTAGCTGAGATTGGCCGGCTTCTTGCTGCTGTAGGGACGTGCCTTGGAAATGACTGAACGTTCCCCATGAAGGTTAATCCTCCTCTTGTCTAAGTGTGGCACAGGGTTTGATACACGCTCACCATACTGGTCACTAACAAAAACAACCCAGGGCCATAAAGTTATCTGATAGAATCATTCACATAACACTACCCAGTTCCTCCTGTATCCAGACCATGGGGCTTTTCCCTAGTGAGTTTGCAGGACATTTTTTGTGGTCTAGAGAAAGGAACTGGAGAGGCAGCTCCTTTTGCAGTCTCTGTCCTACTTCTGACACATGCACCATGTAACTCCTCCTGAAAAGGTCGTACATGGGGGGTTAACATCTGGTTTCTCCAGGGGAGATCCCGGTGCGCTCACTGAGATGCTAGGAGATCTGTGGTGCTCATTTTCCTCCACTTAGCTCATAGCCTGACTGAGCAGGGGCCAGAAATGTAGGCACATGGCATTTCTTCCAGAATGCCCCTCTTTTAAATTTTTTACACAAGACAGCTATGAAATTGCAAATCCAAATACCAAATTGTTTGGACTCAAGCAAATATCAAGTTAATTGAGCTATGAGTTTAGACAAAAAAAAAAAAAAAAGAGAGAGAGAGAGCAAAACTATTTTTGGATCTGAGGTACTGCTGTCATAAGGACATTCAGAAACATAAACAAACGCGGAAGAAAGTGACATTTTCCTTGCAATGGCCACTATAAATATGCTTAATAAAAGAATAGGAGGAAAAAGTTCATCTGTATTCTTTCCTGCTGCAGAAGGAAGGAAAGCCTTTTGCTTTGGTTTAATACATTAGAGACATTAGAAGAACAATTTATCTAAGTGAAAATGTGATCTCTGTAATGCATCCAAGGTCACAGGGATCTATAGCAATTTGCTAAGTGCCAATCAGGGCTGCCGAGGCTGCTCAATGCACCATGTTACCCAGCCAGAACCAGCAGGCAGATAAGCAGTGCTGCACGTGCCCATGTAGCGCAGCACACGCCACCGCTGCCGCTCTCTTCCTAGAGGACACGCATCCCCCAGAGCGTCCCGGGGGTTCCCTGGAGGCCTCCTCGGATTACGGGTGCTCTAAGTCATTTTCCTTTCTTTCAAAGTATTTCCTGGTCTTTGTCTGCTTAAACAATTATTAAGAAACAATAACGTAATAACGCTGCCAATAAGGCTCAGGAACATGGCCAGGAGAGGCAGGGACTGCACGCAGCTGGACACGACCTTTTTGCACGGCCTGTGCAGGAGAGCTGATCTCCCCATGCAGCTCCCAAGAAGGTGCTGCTGAAGAAAAATGCTACAGCCTGCCCCGAGACCTGGTGCTACCAGCCTGGAAACTCCAGGGTAGCAGCAATGATCAGGCTGGACTAATATTACTGTTGCCATTACTGCTAAACACACACACCCCCATTTGTTGACAGATTTCTTTCAGTTGTCTGGCGCTGCCTAGTGGCCATATTGCAAGACGTCTTTTTTAATGGACTGGATGGCTCCTTTTCCAGTCCCTACCCAAAACAGCATCTCTTCAGTAGTTGCCAGTGCCTGAGAAAACCGATGCCAGCACTTGAGAGAGCCAGCATCCATTAATGCCATGACTCTCTTTTTAGGCAGCTGAGGGGCTCTTCTATCCATCTGTCCATCCAATAAAGCATTTGAGCTTTTTATCACATTTCTCACACGAAAATTTCACATGAAAAGTTATAGATAAGATTTTTGGAGGTGCCCGAGATTTTTCAGAGAGGTTCAGGTACCCAGGCTGCTATTCTTCTCACTTAACTTCAGACATTGCAACATAGGTATCTATAGCAGACATCATCACCCCAGGCCCCTCTTCACAGTCAGTGGTGAGAAATAGGCACTTCCAGGGCATAGTTCATCTGACCTACCTTGGATATCTGCACAGGAATGACATGAGTTATATCTTAGCAATGCGGATTTCCCTCTGCTGACTATAAAAGACAGCTGTGGTGACTAACACAGATGGAGAATCTACCCTTTGGTCAGATACAGCAAATAAAGATCACACAAGCTCTGGTTCCTGCTGGTTTCTGTGGGGTTCTCTCCGTTATCTCCTCCTTGCTTTTGAAAACGTACATAAAACACTAGACCTCTAAATTTCTTTAACCGTCCTTAGGAGATGCACTTCAGAGGCACAACAGTGTTCTGGTAAGACATAAACTGAGTATCGAATCCATACTTGAAGCGGGGAATTACGTTCTCTTGAAATGATAACTCAAAGTTTATCTATATTTAAATGAAAGCTTTTTAAATTATTATTTCTTGCTGTAAGCCATCCGCCACACTTGTAATTTGTCTCTCATCAGCCACTTTAATTTGTACTTTCCTTAAGTAGACAACTGTTCAAGAATGTGTCAATATGATTAAAAAGAGGAAGAAACTTGGGGGGGGGTCTCCTTAATCCATAAACACCCTAATGGTTCCTCATTGGTTTAGCAGACGCAGTTCAAAGACTTACTCAAGTTCCTCCTCAGAATCATAACTAACATGCGTCCCTTGTGACGCTGCGACATCGCTCGTGGACTGGAAGAGCTTCAGGCTGCTGTTTTCAGTAGGCGACAACGTCTCTTTCCTTTTCTTTTTAACAAAAAACTTTTTGAAAGATTTGAACTTGGATTTTTTCTTTCCTAAGTAACAAAACACAAAGATGACACTACTGGTAGCATTTGTGAGCTTTAGGAACAATAACAAATCTCATATAAATTCATAAGTGGATTTTTTTCTGGATGAGGCAACACACTCCACTGTTGTATTAAATCTTTCAGGTCTGTACAGTTACCATGAAATTACTGTTATCTCAGAGAATGGATTGCAATGCTTATGACACATAAGAAGTAATGTACAATGTAGGATATTTTCTAATAGAGTTTCTACATGCCTCTTGAGATAATTAGGTCACAAAAAAAAATTGTTATTGACTGCCTGGGATATAGGGAAGAAATTACAACTTGGAATCACTGCCTTTGTTCAGCAAGCTAAATAGCAAAGATAAGGACAATGTTGTTACCAAAACCAATTTAAATGTAGAAATGGCTTACTTAGGTGGAACGTACAGTGTCAGGAGGCTAATGCTTTTATAATATCAGCTTTATTGTATGTTCCAGGATATTTTGAATGGTAATTATGAGACTCAATGGATCACAAAGTATTAAAATAGGAAAGAGGCAATAGTCTTGAAAGGCAATACTAGTCTCCTCACTGAGAAAGGACTCGAATTAGGAACAGTTCCATAACCCAAGAAGAAAAATATTTAAAATGAAACCAGTATTTTGGACAAAACATCTCTATGACCTGTGCATGGCCCAAATAAGTGCCCATGAGAGCAATGCAAGACACCCCTGCCAGCGCTTCAGACATTGCTGGATCATATTGTTCTGTTTAAAAAGTTAACTTTGCCACAAGATGCTACAAAAATCTTATATTAAGCTGCTGACAAGGTGAAAGATGGAACGGCCCTGGCAACAGAAAAATAAAAGGGGAAGACACATTTTCTAAAAAAAAGCAAGAGTCATTTCTGTGATTAAGCTAAGATATTGAAGCTCAGAAAGTCATAACACTTCATTCACTGGGGAAACCAGCAATTTTACCTGAATTGTCCTCTCCAAATCCTTCACTCTCTCGCACCTTAGGGTCCATTATCCTGGCGGAACTTGTGTGACAGTCACTATGAGAAGTGGAAAAAGCATGTGTCATATCACAGAAACAATATTACTTAACTATGTATACTTATATAGGCAAGGTACTAAAATACACAAATAGATGAATATTACACATGTAAAAGAATTGTATATAAATATACACTGTAATATAAATATATATACACTGTATTTATAAGTATTTATTAAAAAAGTAACAATTTCCCATAGGACAAAGTTTCTTAGGCTACAGTATATGGAGCCTAAAAGAAGGCTATGGACGCTATGGAATAAACTCCATAGAATATTTCCACTTACTAAGAGAATGGTATGTTACAGTTAAGTTAACCAGGGCACTGCTAGTAATATCTCCTGACTCAAAAGTACATTTAATGGGATTATCCAACGCTTCTGAAAGAATGAACTTAAGGAAGTTTACTTCCCTTGCTCTCCTTTTCTGCTCTTATTCAAATCACACCGGTTGCTTTTGCCAGTAACACAGTGCAGATAACAACAGTATGTTTTTGATATATGCAAGCAACATTAGTAAAGAACAGAAGGTATTTTGAGTGCATTTAACTTGAAGTATTTGGATTCCAGTTTTTCTTCTTTTTCAACAAATTTGTGAAAAGGTAACAACTAATTTTATTTCTTTGTTCATACAGACAACAGAAAAAAAATACAGATAAAAATAAAATAACTTTTAAAAACAGAAGCAAGATATTACTTCACCCATTAAGGTTCCTAAAAACATTTCCAAAATTGTGCACATTTCAAGCTTGAGGATGAAATATCTGTAACCCAAAGCACATTTTCCGAGCCGACGTCTGTCTGTGCTCTCCTTCCTTCACCGGGGAGGCCGTAGGAGTTGGTTTGAAGCCATGGAGGGCGCTGCCGGGCTGGGTGCCCCGGTGCGCGCGGTCGCTGGCACGGCCGGGCTGCTCCGGGCCGGAGCGGGCCACGGCGCAGGCAGGAACCGCGTCACAACACGCTGGGATTATGCAGGTATCCAAAACGTAACCGGCCACGGTGAGCGACAGACAAATACGCACCCCTAGTCACTTATCAAACACGCTCTGGGGGTCTCACTCTGTTATGCTGCAACAGCAATGACAGGCCTGCAAATCCAAACTTCCATAGGCTCCGGCTGTTACATGCACACGCTGTAGTACCTATGAGCAATACACATCCAGAAAGGGGATCCTACGGTCTCCCTATAAATTATGGATGCTATAATTCAGACGCCCAGCAGTGGCAAACTGGAAAAGCTCCAATGCATTCAAGTCAGGGAAGAGTCTGGGGTTTTTGTTTGTTTTTTTAATCCAAATACTTATATGCTATACAATTCTGAAAAGCAGGACCAGAGAGCGAGAAACACCAGCACATGGAACGGAAGCATTTGTTTCAAATGCATAGGTAGCTGTAAACATATTGTCTTTAGCAAATTTAATGAAGATAATGTATTTCTAACAGTCTAGAAACATGCTGTTATCTAATCTCACCCCCTGAGCAGCCAAGTTCCCAAAAGTTAAAAAATAAAAGTTAGCTTCATCGTAATGTCAGGAAGGATTTCTGAAGATTAGGGAGACATTAGGGAATAAATAATCCGCGCTACCTGAGGGCATCAAGTGTGTTTCCACACCGTGCACCACGGAAAGACACCGAACCTGGATGAGATCTGTTCTCTCAGGCACAAGTGCCTATTGCTTCATTCTCCCGTGGACACCACATGACAACATTTCTCAGGTCTGCAGCATTTTTCTAGTTCTCTACAGCTGTTTCAGGAACTGCTGTGTCTTTCTGGAGCACCCAAGTGTGGGTGAAGGCAGCCCCCCACACGGGTGCCCTGCTGGAGACGCCTCCTGCCGAGTCACAGCGTGAGGAACGACTCCAGCCAGCCGGGATTGGGCACTGAGCGGGGTCGGGGGCGCAAGGCTGGGCCCGCTCCCATCCACACCACCTGGCAGAGTAATCCCTGACGACTGCCACGTCCGGTTGGAGGTAAAACCTCATGCTGTCCTATTCGTGGAGAGCTGCTGAATTCAGTCTGCATGCAATGAGGGTCATAGGCACTCGGAGTGACCTCCTTGTAATGAGGGAAACCCCACATGTGCAGCCTGTGCACGTGCAGTCTGTGACTCTAGTGAGGGCATCTGGAGAGCTCCACCAGGCCTCCAGGATGGGGGTGCTTTACATTTTCTTAAAGAAATGCTAGATGGTTGGGTCAGATATTTAGTATTTTTCAATGATCGCAAGGCTTCAGCAAAACTACTGTATCTACGCTTGGCATGCAATCAGAGCGAACATTGGCTTGTTTCAATCTTCCAGCCCTCACAACCTGGGACAGATCTCAGATCTGCTGGAGTTTCAAGATGCCAGATTGCAGCCTGAATCCTGAGAGAGCCTGTGGATTTAATCCTCTCAGGCCTACATCCGTCGACAGGAGAGGACGCAGTGGGGCAGAAGGCAGGAGCTCGCAGGGCTGTTGCTATGTTATGAAAACACATGTTGTGCCCAGGACAACGAGCTGGGGCTGCCCGGTGACAATCGGGTGCCAAACACGCAGGGAGGAGTTTTATGGTGCTACAACCACAGAAAAATTTGTTTGCGCAGTCGTATGAGCGGGCATGCTCTGCTCCTCCTCACCTTGGGAACGGGAGCTCTCGGGCAAATCATGCTGCAGTTCAAAAGGAAGGGAATGACGAAACACCTGGCGAGCAGCAGCACTGGGGCCAGCGCGCGGAGCTCACGGTGGCAGTCGTGGAGCCAGCAGCACCGACAGCTCCTTCGTGACCACGCTTTCCGAATGGGCAGATCCTCTTAGCACACCTGACTTGGAAGCAAATACCTGACCACTTAGTGCTAAGCTGAAATCAGCCACACGCTCCAGTGTTTTCCCAAGTGCAGGTTCCTGCTGCACCAGCTCCCAGGAGAGCAATGGGAAGCACTGGCCTCTGCTCAGCTCTCCGTGGTTCTTGGAGATCTCTGGCGCTTTTCTGCAAGGGCAGGACTGCGCAGCTCCATGTCCCACCGAGCCTAACTTTAGGTGATTACAGAAATTTCCACTTTAAATTGACAGTGATGTTTTTATTGACACAGAGAAAAGTTGTTTTTCCTTCCAAACTCTGAATATTGAAACAGCATCAGATAAGTGCTGTTTTCCCCCTGCCTTCAGCATCTGACATCAGAGAAATCTGTTTTCTTTCCCAGATACATGAATGCAAAAAGACTGTTTTATCTGTGTGTCACCTTTTCCTTTTTGTATAAGCTATTTTGACAATTTATTGAGACAGATTTTCAAGCTTTCAAGCTTCTTCCTCAGTGCCTATAACAAACCCTCTGGCAATAATAGACTCATCATATGAAAGGTTCAATTAGTCAAAGATATTTAAGAGGAATTTAAAAAAAAAGAGGCTGAAGTGTAATCTGGGTATGATTATGACTGATTGCTGCTCCCCTGACATAAACAGAGATTTGATTGTTTACTCTACAGCAAAACTTAGCTTCCTCATAGCTTTACTTCAAACCTACAACAGGCTGCCAGCATAACAAGCATGCAGCAAAATGCTTCTCAAATCACTGACTACAGAAAACGGAAAATCTAGCGGCTTAAAATCCTCCCCCACGTGCACCTGTGGTATTTGGCATGAGCTGGGGTTTGGGCCTGGAGGCCAAATGTCAACCTGAAGACTGGGCAGGACGCGAGTCCTGCGGGAGCAGCCTGCGCTGCCGCTTCTCCCGTTTGTGAGGGAGGGAGAGATTTACCGCCCTCCCGGCGGCTCCGCTCTCTTCCTCTTGTTCTTTTTTTCCCCCTTTTACATTTTATCTTCGGTTCTTTCCACAGCAGAGTGCTGGAGATAGCTGGTTTATCAATTTATTATGAGATTTTATAAGCACAGAATGTCTCCTGATAAATTGCTAAATACCACCCAAGATTGTAACACTGTTTTTCCTATATTGGACTTTTCCCAGCGGAGACTCATTTTCCCCTCTCCTTCCTTCGAGTGCCCTTTCTAAATGAGCTCAGATGCAAGAAATACATCTGGGAATGCGCGAGTGAAGAAGATGCAGAACAAGTAGGTGTTTCTTCCCTTGCCTACCTCTCCCAAATGCCAGCACATCCAGACATGGATATCCAAAAATCACAGCTGAACTGAACAATGGCAATTTACGCTTTTTTATTCCTGAGTTGTATCGCAACATGCTCTTCCCAATAAACAAAGAAAAAAAAAAAGGGGAGGGGGATTTTTAAAATCTGAAATTAAAATAACCATTCCAAGCAAGAGGAAATCCTGTCCTCTACTCTCTCAAATATCATGGCATGAACATCTGTCTATCACACATCTCTGTAGATCTGGGAAGAGGTAGAAATCTCACTTTTCTTATTCAGCCTCCGCTACCCAAAACTAAACCTGTCAAAACATAACCGATTACCAAAACCTTTCCCAAAGTTGCCAATCATTTGCTTCTCTGCTCCAGTGCTCTCTGCCAGGCCTTGTTTCTGCGAGAGGGGCTCATATGGGACGAGCACTGAAAGGAACATGGACATGAGTGGGGTTCAGATCCCAGGCAAACAAACGCGCTCGTATAAACACATCCAAAATGCGCAGAGTGAAAGGGCACAAGGGCCCGATCACAACTTCGCCTCCATTTCCGAAGCCATACATCTTCCTGCTCCAAAGCTCTACTTATGCCAAAGAGGTAAAAATTGCATTTTTTTGTATTCAGCTTCCAACTTTGAGGTCAGGGGAACACATACACATGTGTGTGCACTCGCACAATCATCCCAGGAGCTCCACCAGCAGCCCAGAGGGTCTCGGTGGGACCGCAAGGCCACCCAGCCTTGCTCCTGTCCTGCTGCCCTTATAGGATGTCTGCACGTCCTAGCTGTATTCCCATCCCTCTGAAATGGGTATTAGAAATATTTTATCAAAAGGAGTCTTGCCTTCGGGAAATTACACTGTTTCCTCCAGCAGGCCTATATAAAGTATCAAAGATAAGCTTTATGCCAATAGAAGGATAAAAAAA